GCGTCTGTGGCCGGTTTTAAGATTCCTATAAAAAAGGCTATGGGGGGAATGGGTTAATGGCACACCATAGTAGTCAAGGAAAACCAAACAATGGTAGGTAAATAGTATAATGGCTAACAGGGGTCAGGCTGGAGACTCTTGCCTATATGCTCGGGGTCTTACTGATCGCCATATTTGGGGTCGGGAAGGAATTTTCCTCCAGGGCAGATTGGCTGAGCCTCTGGAGGTTTTTCGCCTTCCTCCGCAGCATAGGGCAGGGATCTCTAGCAGGAGGGTCTCTGCCGATTGAAGTCACTAAAAACAGGATTGGGGACTTCAACAGGAGAGTCCAGGGAAGGGGTAGGGACGGTTTTATGGCCTGCAGCATGCAGGGGGTCAGACCAGATGATCATAATGGTCCCTTCTGACCTTAAAGTCTATGAGTCTATGAGTCTATGAGTAATGGTAGTGGAGGGAGAAACAGTGGTGGAAAATGAACAAATGAGAAGAAAGGGCAAGGGATTAAGAAGGTAGATAGTTTTGTGAAGGGACTGGTTCGTATCAGACATATGCAAGAGGTACATAGGAGAGAGGGGAGAGGAAAGGAAGGGAAAGGTATGTAGGGAGTGCTGGAGAAGACACAAATTATTGCAATTTGGAATTTCTCAGAAATGCTGGGGAAATGATGAGTGGGAGAGAGGAATAGAGAAAAAAATGAAAAGTAAGAACAAGGATTATCAGCACCTTTAGCAATGATGGAGGAACAGAAATTAGATTTTGTAGCTCAAATGGCGATCTCTGTAGAATGTATCTGGCACTTAAAAATACATTGGCATTTTTTGCAGCAGTAAGGTTAATAAGTCCAGGGTTCTGGTCTCCAATTTGGGCAATTCCATTTTACCACTGAAATTTCCTTAGCTCTTCCATTTTGATTCAGGATTCTTCTTCACTTGTCCTAAACCTTTGTGTAATATTGTAGTGCACTGTTAAACGGTTGCCACCTCAGAGGTGGTCTGTTGCCTTTTAGTAGAGAGTGAAGTGATTGTAATATATAATATAGTACAATATAAATTTGTAAAGTACTTAGAGATTCACAGGATGTAAAGTACAATATAAATATGACACTATTAAGTTTTCATTAATTTGTCCATATTTCCTTATTGTCAACTGCTAAGCAAACCCATCTTGTGAGTCAAAGGCTATTATTTTTTAACTTCCTTTTCAGAATGACTATCGCAAGCTGTCTATGCAATGCAAGGACTTCGTGGTTGGTGTCCTTGATCTCTGCCGAGACTCTGAAGAGGTAGAAGCCATTCTAAACGGGGATTTGGATGCTGAGCCAGTTGAAACACAGAGGCACAGAGCTTCACTGAGTCGTGTCAAACTAGCCATTAAGTATGAAGTAAAAAAGGTAACCGTGTAACCAGCACTTTTAGACAATGTTGTATGTGAATGCATTGTATCATATTCTGCATGTATTAATGGACTGACAGTAAATTATCTTAAGACAAAATATGTGGGCCAGATTCGCAGCAGGTATAAACTAACACACACAAAAACCCTCCAATGGAACTATGTCAGTGTATACCAGCTGAGAATTTGGCCCTGCATTTTTAATGACAGAAATAGCATGTGCCAGAAAGATGATATATTTACACAAATTACAGTGGGTGAAATCCTGGTCTCAACCAAGTCAATGGCAGTGAAGATTTCAGTGGGGTCAGCATTTCACTCCGTTAATGTAGCTATGTGCATGAGTCTTCTTGCCAATCCCTGTGATAGCATTTTAATCAAAAGTGAAGGCTGTAGCCACAACAAGATTTCTTTCATGTTATCATAAAAGGGCTATTTTGTAAATATAACATTTTTAAAATGTTATACTTTGCAGTATTGGAATTGATCAAATAAATTATATCATAAGCTGCTTGGAAAGTCTTGCATCTGTCCACTAGGATAGCTGTCTACACATATTTTTCTTTTTAAGGAGAACCTTCATTTCACTGCTCTGAAAGAGAACACATTTCAATTGTTACTCTGTTTCTTTATCATATTTTTGAAGGCATCATATAGCACCAAACAGCTCATCTGCAAATGTGTTGCTGTTAATCAAGCAGCCTTATAGAAAAAAATTCTGTCTGACTTATAGTGTCTTCTGTTTAAATAAATCAGAGTGCGTTCAATTGTGGAAATATGCACTTCAGTTTTATTGTCAGTTAATCAATTAGTTTATTCATATGTTTTTGTAAATACTCAAAGCACGGTATATCTGCAGTGGATACCAATGGCAAAGATTTTGTTTGCCATAAAAATACTTTATTCTGTGAAATGAATATTCTTTACAGCCAGAAATACAACGCTGTAGAATGCAACCGGTTAGTTAAATGTTTATCAGTTCATTGTATGCAGTGTAGTTGTAGCTGTGTCAGTCCCAGGATATTAGAGAGACAAGGTGGGTGAGATAATCTCTTATTCGACCAACTTCTGCTGGTGAGAGAGATGCTTTTGAGCTCTTACAAGAGCTCTGTCTCTCTCACCAACAGAAATTGGTCCCATAAGAGATTACCTCACCCACCGGGTTTTATCAATTCATTATCATATAAAGAAATTTTAGCAGCACATACAGAAGAAATATAGCGACAGCTATATTATATTTATTGGATGACTTATGCTGATGGTTGTGTGCAGAGGCAGGATAAAATTACCATAACAAAAATACTGCTATTTTCACAATGTTATGATTTCCCATTTAATTTTTTTTAAATCCCCACAAAAATATGGGAATTCCCAACTTTTCAAAATTCCCATTTTTCACTTTATTTACCCACTTTTCCACTAGCTATGGTTATAAGCTTTTCCAACAGGGTGAAATACATGAGTAATCATCATACAGTTTTGTAAAAGTGTAAAATCTTCAAGTGAAGGAAGCTGCTCACCACAGGTGTCCTCTTCTGGTTGGGCACAGGTGTAGCAAGGCTACTTCTTCTCTGGCACCGCCCCTGATGTCAGCTACTCCAGCCCTGTGGTGGTCTGCTCTCCTTGTACTCCAACCCTCTGCCTAGGTCACACCTTTCTGTCCACCCCTTTTGCAGTTATATAAAGAGCCCTAATGGGGTTGCCCTGTTGGTTAGGTGATAGGCCTTTAGGATCTTCCCTTGCCCAGGTTCTCCCTGTTAGGGGTAGGGTTTATGCCTTCTGCCCTCCTGGTGGTAGGGGAACCAGGGCCTGCCCTTTCTAAGTCCTGTGCCCAAAAGAGCTGTACTGCTGCCGCCCTGGATCACTTTTTTACCAGTCCCCTCTTTCCCAACAGGTAAAATAATAAACAGTAAATAACTGACATCAAAGGTAAAGTCTCAGATCTTCTGAGTGTTGCAAGTCTCTCTCTTATGGCTCTGGTATTGTCTCTGCAACCAGAGCCTCGGGCAACAGGACCTCTCCCACTGCTCCTTCCCAAGAGCTCAGAGTGTAGTCAGTTCCCTTCACTGTCTGCTCCTCTACTAAGCTGACCTGTTCCCCTTTTGATCTCCTCCTCCAAGCTGTGTGTGCTTTGCAGATAGGGTGGGGTGGGCACCTGGGGCCAGAGCAGCTGCTTAATCCCTTTCTTTCCAGGCTGGTGTTTGCACAACCTGTCATACTTCAAAATTGGGGAAAACCAATATAATTCTTGGCAAACTTCACAATTCTTGACACATGTTTAATGATGGGAACAGGAACCTCTCGCTAGATCAGTGGTTCAAAGCTAGCCAATATGAACATGGTCTAAAAGCCTAGAAGGGATTGGTAGAGACTCAGCCCTGGTCTACACTGTGGGGGGTGAGATCGATCTAAGTTACGCAACTTCAGCTACATGAATAACGTAGCTGAAGTCGATGTACTTAGATCTACTTACTTCACTATGGTGAGTCGACTGCTGCCGCTCCCCGTCAACTCTGCCTGTGCCTCTCGCCGAGCTGGAGTACAGGAGCCGACGGGAGAGCGCTCGGGGATCGATTGCTGCCCACCGATCCAGCCGGTAGTGAAGACATACCCTGAAAGTTCTTTACCATCTGCTGTCTTTTCAATGCTTTGTTAAATGAGCTGTCTTTGTAATCAAGTCCCAGTAGACAAGCATCTTCACTGCAAAAAATCACCATCACTATGGTGTTTTTCTTTGCATTCTCAGCAGAGAGAGAGAGAGAGAAAGAAGATTTCTCAGTCTCAATGTCCATTCAGTCTCCTCACATCGAGTTGAGGAGCACATTAAGAGGGTGTCACGGAGTGCGTGTTTCTGGTGCACACACTGTACCTGTTCTGTAGATAAATTAAAGGTTTTAGGCCCTAATCTTGGGCCATTCCATTGGCACAACAGGACCTAAACCCAGTGAATTGGTGACCATGGTGACCCCAGAGAATCTGTGCTGGTTATGGAGATCCTCAGATGGGGTAAAGTCACCGTAGTTATGCCTATGCCACTCCCAACAGATGGCCAGGACAGAGAGCATGATAAGGAGAAAGGGGGCATGGCCAGGGAATCTCTACCCTGGGAGGGCCCCTTGGTGCTCTAATAGCCTTTTGGGGCCATTGGCAGCTGGTGCAAGTTGTAACAGCCGTCAAATTGCAGAGCAGATTTGGGTTTGGGGGGTTGCAAAAGGACCTTTGCCCTCATACCCTCAACTTTGTGTTAAACAGTCCTTGGCTTCACACAAGGAAGTGGGGTAACATTTTGAAAAATGCATAAGTGAGGCACGCCTGAAAATTTCACCCATAATCCTTAGCCTCCCATATTTCTGTCTGGACTTCTGAGTTCAACTACAAAAGAAAAGTGAACTTCTGTGAGACAAAAGTACAGCCAAGCATTGCTAGGATTGCAGCTCCATGTAATAATTAATGAGAAAAAAAGCCTCTTTTTAAAAAAAAGAGTTAAAAGCTAATGTCCTCAGAAGCGCATTGTGTGGGAAATGCAGCTCATAACTCTGACTATCCAATAGAGTGCCTACACTTACTATCCTATGCGCTGCATAAAAAAAACATAGCCCTGCTCCAGAAACAGGGTATGATTTTGAGGCTAATGATCAAGATAAAACTGCAGCCTCTCAAACAGCATATGTCCAAAGGAAGTAAAAGCCAGGAGAAACTCTTTAGCATAACTAGACTGGCTCACCATGCTAAGGAGTTGCTGCCATGCTGCTTGTCCTTCCTTATTGTGTGCTAGCTATCTCTGTATTTAAACTGCAAACAATCTCACAGAAGTTGCTCTCAGTGGGCCAAATCCTGCAGTTCTTATTTAGGCAAAACCCACTACAGGAATGTTCAACTGAAATCAATGGGAGTTTGGCCAGAGTACTGTCCAGCCACTCCCCTCAGTGGCAAATTGCAGTCCATGGTCTAGCCACTTCCTTCAGTGGCTCCAGCACCTTGCATCAGGGCCTCAGTCTGCAGATCTCTGGCTGCAGTACTGCTCTGTCCAGGGTGCTTGCTGCCCTCCACCTACAAAGCAGCCAATCTTCCTCCCTTCTCAAGCTCCAGGGAGTGACTGCCCCTGCTCAGTTCTGCAGCTCTTCTTATATGGGCCAGCCCGACCCTGATTGGCTGCTCCTATAAGCCCTTCTGTGATTGGCTGTCTCCTACACAGCCTCCCTAGGGTAGCTTTTAACCTCTTTTCTGCCAGTGTGAGGCAGATGCATCATCACAGGGACTTAACACAATTCATGGGAATGTTAAAAATGAATGATGTAATTCTATAATTACATCTACTCATACAGAAAAATAGATATGTATTACAACTTGCATTGTTACCTGAATTTTCATAGTCGGTAAACTAAATGAAAACTGAATAGTGAAATGTGGTTCTCTGTTAACTATCTACAAGATGTGAAAGTCAAAAACAGCTATATAAAATTGGCTTATCAGATCTGGCCTCTGTGCCTATTCAGAGTTTAATGGGAGTTAGGGTGACCAGATGAGATGAAGAAAATATCGTGACACCAAGGGGGGCAAAAAAAAAAAAAAGCCGAGTGATCCCGGCGGCACAAAATATTGGGACAAAAATTGCATCTCGACCAGAGATCGGTCGGGATGCGGGACAAACAGCTCAAAATTGGGACGGTCCCGATTTTATCGGGATGTCTGGTCACCCTAATGGGAGTGGGATTGGGCCCTAAAATAGATAAATGTAATGAAAGATGAGGTGGATGCGGGTGTGAGAATGTGAGATAGCAGAAATGCAGAAGTCACCAGTGGAAGGGGTGATGTGGTTGGAAGAGAGTTTGAGCGGTAGCATCCTGAAGAGATTGTAGGGGGAAAGCTGAGAAGATGGAAGCCAAAGAAGAGATTGCAGTGGTGAGGTTAGAAATGACCAAAGCATGAATTAAAATTTTGGTAGTGGATCCAGTGGGTTTCAGAGCCGTTATAGGAGAAGTGACAAGATTTGGTGAG